AGCCTGTGCACCTGCTGAGAGCTGGGACCAGGTCTGTGGAGCTCTAATGCCCAACCCATTGTACAAGTCAAAGTGTCTAGGTGTGAGAAGGGACCAGCCTGTGCACCTGCTGAGAGCTGGGACCAGGTCTGTGGAGCTCTAATGAATGCCCAACCCATTGTACAAGTCAAAGTGTCTAGGTGTGAGAAGGGATTGATGAGTAGATGGACAGATGCATGGGAACCTAGGTGAAGGACCCTGTGAGCTGTTTATCATTTGGCTCTTCTAATTCACTATCCACCCTTCGTCTCTTGAAGCTCCTAATAGAACTGGCATATTCAGTCAGGAGTAATTCTACCTATAGGACCCTTCAAAAGGAAAGGACAGGGTGGCAGTAGTGAATAGTGTCTGGTGGGGCACATGACAGAGATTTAAAAGAACTGTATTTGGGCAGGTTGTATCTGCAAGGAGTCCAGCAGAAAGATAGACTTTAGGCAAGGACACTCCAACCCAACTCACAGGCACACACATAGAAACCAGAGTGAGCCCCTCCATACAGCTCTTCCACACTCAGGAGAACTGGAAGACTCTCTCTTCCCACTACCAACTTTCTGGACACAGGATATGACTCACCAGAACATTTGAGAGAAACAATTCGGCCAGAAGGACAGTTAGCACTGTAAAACAAAGGTGTCCCTAAGAAGCCAGGCAGTGCCACCCAAAGGCCATGTACACCACAGTTTTGTTTTGTGTTCTTGAGAGAGTGTATCGTGTGGCCCAGGGTAGACAAAAACTCACTCCACAGCCAAGAATGACTGTGTACCTGATCTTCTTGCCACAACTTCCCAAGGACCAGAATTACAGGTATGCTCTGCCACTCCCAGCCTGTCTTCACAGTTCTTAAGGTCATGCTGTAGTCCCAACCTTAAGACACTGCCATTTTGCCATTTTCTTCCCACCCCTCACAAACACCCAGGCCAATCCTACAATAAATGCCTGCCCATTCTGCCCCAGCAACCAAAAGGAAAACAGAAAGCCTTCACAATCCTGGAAAATCTGTTTGGATAAGGTCCATATTTCCAACTCAGAATTGACAGATGAGAAAGCCCAGCTGTTCCCATGTGCTCTGAGTAAACAGATGCTCAGTGGGTAAATGAATGACCACAGCATGAATGGGTGAATAGAGCCCTATACCCAGGCATCTTCCAGGCCCAACCTCTTCTCTGTCTCAGGCCCTTTATCTAGGGCCTACAGAGTCATACTCTTGTTCTTGTGTTCCCTGCTGCCCTTTAGCATAATAAGCCTCAGCTCCCTTTTGACCCAACATTCTTGTCTTGCCCTTCTCGTCTCTTCCTTTCAGCAGCCCAATACCTGATCTATTTGGTTTCTATTTTCTAACCCTGTAGCCCTTCTACCCTCTTGGAGGTCTTGGGAATCTCACAGAGGGAAAGGGACAGCTGGGGTCACTCTGTCTCAAGTACATTCCTAAGAATGGATCTGGGACTTGGAAGAATGAATGGTTCAGGGGAGTAGGCGAAGATAGCTTCAGAGCAGGGGTGGGGCCTCTGCCTGCTTCCATCCCCGAGGCTTCAGGAAGTCTGAAGGACCCCAGGTTAGGCAGACCTCTCAGCTTATGCCCATAGAGTATAGTAAGAGGCTTGATCCATTTTGAGTCCCTTTCTTTTGGATGCTATATGATTTTCTCCTGTGATACCAGAATTATCCAAGCAAAGCACAGCCACACGGGTCCCTTGACTTGGACTCATGAGCTTGGCCACAACCGTGTGTTGGCTGCTTACTGGTCACACTGCTCTGAATAAAACTTTTTAACTTCACTGAGCCTCAGTTTCCCTACCTGCAAAAGTGAATTATGGTTTGAACACAAAATGACCGCCCAAAAGTTCACAGGTACCTGCTCCTTTTCCCATGGCACTGTTTTTAGAAGTTCTGACAATTTTAAGTAGTAGAGCCTAGCTAGAGGAAGTAGGCCACTGGATGCATGGCATGTCCTTAAGAATTGTGTCTTAGATGGGCATCTGTGGGGTACACGTTTAATCTCAGCACTCAGGAGGCAGAGGTAGGCGCATCTCTGTGAGTTCGAGGCCAGCCTGGTCTACAGAGAGAGTGCCAGGATAGGCTCCAAAGCTACACAGAGAAACCCTGTCTTGAAAAAACAAAAACAAAAACAAAAACAAACAAACAAACAAAGAATTGTATCTTATCCTAAACGTGGCCTTTCTGTCCATGCAAGGTGAACCACCTCCTGTACCCATTCCTTCAGCATGATGTTCTGTCCTGGCACATGGGGCCAAACAACCATTGGATGAACGAACCATCTACAACCATGGAGCAAAGAGGTCTTTCTTTACATTGCCTTGTGTATTTGGTCACAGCAATGTAGTTAGCACGGGGCGGGGGGGGGGGGGGGGGGGTAGGAGGGCCATTCTAAATCGTATACCAGTAACTAAAAACCTAGGGGTTTTGTTGGTTGGGAAGTTTGGTTTGGGTTGGGTTGGGGGGTTGGATTGGGTTGAGTTGAGATAGGTCTCCTATATCCCAGGCTGACCTCAAACTCTGTATACAGTTGCGAATGACTTTGCTTCTGATCCTGCTTAGAACTCAAGCAACAACACAACAATTTATACAGTACTGGGGATTGAACCCAGGGCTTTGTGTGTGCTGGGCAAGCACTCTACAACATCTGAGCTACATGCCCAGCCCACTGCCTTGCATTTCTTGTGTGAGATAAATACTACATGACAGAGCATGTGACCCAGGTTTGTGGCTTATGACTGGGAAACAGTCTTCTCTGATCTCATTACACTGCCCATGTCCCCACCATCAGGCTCCTCTGCAGAAAGACCTTCCTAGACTGCTCACCATTCACCAAGCCCACAGGGCCCTACCTGGGCTGCCATGCCTCCTGTAGGCGGCCTCCCAGTCTAGTAGACAACTGAGCAAACTCCTGGGATCTGGCGAGCTTGATGTCAGACAGATTCACTGCCTTGTGGTGAGTGAGTCTTGGCAGAGGAAGAGAAAACAGGAGGGAGTCAGCTTCAAACTGTAGCATGAATGAGGTCCGGTAGTCAGAAGTACACCACACATGAGCTGTGCCAGCATTGTGAATGAGCAAGGCCATGATGGTAACTTGTTCGATCCACACTCCCCACTCCAGTCCCCCTACAAGCCAGCCAGCCCTGCAAGTGTCTGGCTGTTACCTGAGGTGCCCGAGACTTTGGCAAATGTGAATCCCCAGGGCAGGGTTCCAGCCCTCGTGGCAGACCAGGAGCCAGTCTGGCCGAGCCCTTACTTGCACTTCAAGCAGGAGATCCTCACCACTTATTCTGAAAGATACTGAAACCACAGTGTGAAAACCAACCTGCTGCTGCTGAGACGGATGAGACAAGAGGAGCTGGACACATGGATCACCCCAGGTGGTCAGCTTCCCTGCTTACCCACATGTCTGGTCAGTACAAAGCACAGCAAAACACCTTACTGTAGATGTTTGCAGTTCTGTGTTTTGACCATGTGCTTTAAAGGGCGCCATGTGGCAAGTGAGATGTCTCAGCAGGTGAAGGCACTTGTTATCAAGCTTGACAACCTGGGCTGAACCACCAGAAGCCACTTGATAGAAAGAGAGCCAACACATTCATTCAGTGGCATATGCACATACACATACACATACACACACACACACACACACACACACACACACACACACACACACACACACACACACACACCACACACAAAGTAAATAAATGAGGGTATACTGTCATACTCTTTATCACAACAGCTCTACAAGAAGGCAGTTACCACCCTCAACAGAGGGAATACCATAGCACAGAGGTGAAAGCAATTTGCCCAAGATCATAGGACCAACACAGGATGGATGGATCCAGGACATAAGTCCAGTTTCCTGAATTCAAATATTATGACCATAATAGTTAATATTTATCAACTGCTTTTTGTCCATGTTGTTACAGATAGAATTTTTCACACGCATTCTCTCTCTCCCCTCTCTCTCTCTCTCTCTCTCTCTCTCTCTCTCTCTCTCTCTCTCTCCTAGACTGAAACTCCAATCCCTCAGTATAACTGAATGTAGATAGAGCCTTGAAGAAGGTAATTAAAATCAAACAAGGGGTTTGTTCTGCATCTTGGTTTGGTACAGTGTTTGCCTAGCATGCATATAGCCCTGGGCTTGATGTCCGCTGCTGCATAAAGTGGGTGTGATGGAACCTGCCTGTAATCCCTACACTCTGGAAATGGAGGCAGAAGGCCACACTCAAGCCCTCTGGCTACATACTGAGTTACAGGCCAGTTTGGAGACATTAGATACTTAATTCAAAAAAATAAAAAGATGAAATGAGGTCAAGGGGTGCTGGTCCAGTAGGGTCACATCCTCATAGAAGATCATTCTTTCCTTCCCCACCTCCCAGCAAACAGAAGGCACTATGGGGAGCCAGGAAGAAAGCCCTCACCAGGAACCAAGTTGCCCAGATCTTTGTAACCGAATCTCTAACATCCAGACTGTGAGAAAATAAATGTGCTCCGCTCCCCCATCTGTAGCTTTTTGTTATGGCAGGCCAGCTGGCTAATGCAAAGGTCCAGGACTAAGCTTCTTTTATATATTTGCACACATTATAATTACAACTTCATGCAGTAAATACTTTCATTCCATTTCCATTGTATATAGAAAGAAATGGAAGCACAAAGAAATAATGTACCAAAGACCATACACCTAGCAAAAGAAAAAACAAGAAAACCCAGCCTTGATCTAACTAATGTCTCTAACTTTTTCTAACCTCCAGTCTTTGGGCAGCATTATACTGTGTGACACCCCAACTCTCACCTGGAATAAGGGATAGTGGGACAGCCAAGGGACAATATGGAGTGATGTCTCCAGATGTCCAGATGGCCCTATTGTTCACATACTGCCAACCCATAATAGCTTCTCTTCCCCCATAATACTAGCTCACACTACCCTAAATTATAAGCTTCCATCTTTTTCTACTAGCCTGACCTCCTAGCCACATCCCAGCTAAAGATCAGGACACTCCTCAGGGAGGCCTACAAATCCTAGATCTGAGATCAATACTGCCAGATGGACCTTGTTACCACCATCATCCCAGTAGAAGAGACAGATGGGTGGTTAGCAAACTGCTAGTCCTTCATTTTGGTCCTGAAGCTGTAAAGGGTCCTGAGCTAGGTGAAGGGCTTGTTCCTGTAGCTTTGAGTGAGTGACCTACCTGTTTTGGGAAGAAATGGGAGAAGCTCTTCTTCACTGCTGACTCCTGGACAGCTCAGAGTCATCTCCTCCTCCTGCAAGGTCCCGGAGATGGGTAGAGAGGCAGCCGGCCATAAATACAATACTTCAGGGAAGCACAGAGAGTCACAGAGAGTCTGGGGGTAGGGAGGGAAATCCCCCTAGAGGAGGTCAAGATGCCTAGAAAGTCAGTACTGCAGTAGGGGTAGGCCTGCCTCCTACAGAGTCCCTATCAGTCGCATTGCCTATAGGCAGATCCCAATCAATCTGTAAGGAGGCACAGGACTGTGTCAGACTACCCTGTGTTTCTATTTGTCTGTCTGTCTGTCTCTATCTCACTAGAAACAATTTCTAGGGGAAAAAAACTGACTAAAACCATGGATCATCCACACATTTGACAGGACTGTAAGACCAAGCTGTTCCCTCTGACACCTAAATCCCTCCTGTTCCATGGGTAACACATTCCATCTTGCTGTCTACACAGCACAGATGAGGAAGGGGCTTATTCATCTACATATAGTGCCTGTTCAGCACCTGCTTCTGTCTCCAAACTTCCCCCAGATCCTTTCCTCCACCCCCCTCCAGACAAAAGGGCCCAGCACTGACCTAGGAGCCATGAGCCAACACCAGCTCCAGCCAGCAGTCCCAGGGCTCCCAGTATTGCACAGCCGTGTTGCAGGCAGCACCAGCGCTGGAACTGAGAGACTATGAAAGAAGCAGAGAGTTGCCTGGATTTCCTGCCTCTTCCAGCAAGCTTTACTCAACCTTGAGGCACCAGTAAGTTCTAACAGGAGCCTGCTCCTGCCCCATGGGCTCAAAGAGGTAGAGGCAGGTTGTGGTCCCTGAAGCCCAGCTCCCACTTGGTCCTGGTGTTGGGAGTAGAGCAAATAGGGGATAAAGAATGAGATTTCCTTCGTCTTCACGCTGACCCAAGAAGAGAATATGGAATGCAGGAAGATGATCCTTTGCTGACCCCATCCTGTCCCTCCCTAATGGCCCAGTGTGACCTACTAGGTTGCCGCTGGTCTCCCAACTCTGTTCCGAAGATCCCAGGTCCAGGACCCTCTTCTGTGCACCGAACTGCCATTGGGCCTTGGTCATCCAGTGTTGGACTCTGAAGAAATAGTTGTTGGAAATCCAGCATTCCTACACCAGGGCTGCCAAAAGAAAACCCAGCCCTCACCAAGTCCTAGTTTCTAATTCCAGTCCTGCCCCTGAGGCTAACTATAAATCTCTATTCAACTTGGAGATTCCTATCCAGGCTTTTTCTGTTCTCCTAGAGTCCCTAGCCCTATTTACTTCACTCTCAAATGACGGCAATAGCAAGGAGGAAACTGGAACCCAGACTTGCTACACTCCAAAGTCTATGTTCTTCATTAACTGTGCCTGTTCCTGTTCCCAAGAGCATCAAAAGGGAACCCTTGAGGTCTGTCAGCATCCCACTCTAGGCACTTTCATTCCTTTCTATCTCAGAAAAAGAGCACACACACACACACACACACACACACACACACACACAATCATTCATTCCCCAAAAATATTTGGCCCAAGTATATAAGACACCATAGGAGACACTCACTACAGGAAATTCAGGATAAATCAGCATGGATTGGAATTCCTCAAAGATTTCTCAGTCTTGTCCCAATGACAAGTCATAGCACATGTTAAATGGCCACAAAGAGTTGGACTAAAGCTCCCACCACATTCAACAGATTAAGAGGTGACTTCTCACCAACAAGATCAAGGAAGGCTTCTAGAGGAGAGCAGTCTCTAAGGCAATGTCCCCTGGGAGAGTAGGGCTGGAGCTAATGTGTTTCTATCAGGCATTGTGTAGTCCAGACAAAGGATGCTGATGAAGCAAAGACAGGGTGGTCAAAGACAGGAAATCAAAGAGCAGAGTGGCTCACATGTATGCCCAAAGCTCTGGAGCCATGAAGAGCAGTGAAATAACATGATTGGCAAGCACCGAACAGTTCATAACTAGATTTACAACCTACCATGTGAACTTCGATAACTCAGACCATCAGTCCAAACCTCAATCTTAGCATTTATAAAATAAGAGTGATAATTCCTACTTCCTAATGAGCAAATTCCCTCCCCTAGTGTCCCCTAGCTGCAGCTGGTAAGTTGTGAGGGGGGGGTGCATCCCAACCCACAGGAAGGGGTTAGGTCACTGGCCTGGCCATTATTCTCCATATTACCAAGCCAGAGCAATCTTTCTAAGATGTAGTTATGAGCATGGTGGTCCAATCTTTAAAGTGCCTGGTAGTCTTTGCAGCCTCGGTGTCAGGATAAGCCTTCATCCCATCACTACTAGGGTTTTGTAATCTTATCCTTCCTCATTTCTCCATCCTCACTGCCAGCAACAGCTCACTCTATTGCACTGTGCTATTCCACAGCACCTTCAAATACTCTCCCACTTGCAGAGGTTTTGTGTCTACTGTTCCCACTCCACATAGCTGTCTCCTACTGACCCTTCAGTGTGGAGGTCATTTCTTGGGAGAGCATCTTTAACTGTAGATAACTTATCACTGACCTCACTTCTTTCTCTTTTCTTTCATACTGGTCTGTGTATACCAGAGACTGGCACAAAAAGCAATACTGGTAAAGTGCATAGACATAAGGAAGGAAGCTAGGAGGTGGTGGTGCACGCCTTTAATCCCAGCACTCAGGAGGCAGAGGCAGGTGGATCTCTGAGTTCGAAGCCAACCTGGTCTACAGAATGAGTTCCAGGACAGCCAAAGCCACACAGAGAAAGCCTATCTCAAAACACCAAAAACTTACAAAAGAAGAAAGAAAGAAAAAAAGAAAGAAGGGATGAAGGAAAGGAGAAGGAGGGAGGAAAACAATGTGGTTCAATGGGGTTTATAAATTATAAAACACAAGATACATGCTAGTTATAATAATATTGATATGAAATACATGTAAGCTGTAAATCCTTTCTCAAGGAATTTATAATCCCATAACGTCTGGAAATTATACTCTAGCTGAGTGTGGTGCTGTATGCCTGCATCTCAACACTTAGGAAATGAAACAGAAGGATCACAAGGCAAGCCTCAGCTACAAAGTAAGACCCTGTCTTAAAAAAAAGAAGAGGAGGAAGAAGAGGAGGCGTCTGGGAAGACAGCTCAGTCAGTAAAGTGCTCCTATGCAAGCATGAGGATTTACATTCTGGCCCCAGAACCTATGTAAACCCAGGGCCTGGTAGCACAAGATTTTAATCCCAAAGACAGCGGCTTGATGGCCAGTTAGCCTATCAAACCAGTAATTTCCAGGCCAGCAAGAGACCCTGTCTCAAAAGAAAGAAATAAAGATGGATAGCACCTGAAGAATGACACCTGGGTTGTTCTATGGACTACACATGTGTATGCACAAATGTACTCATCCATGTACACACACACACCCACACACACACACACACACACCCACACACACACACACACACACGCACACGCACACGCACACGCACACGCACACGCACACGCGCACACACACACACCAAATTGTAGTGATTCCTACCTGCATATCACCTTTCCCTCTCGACACATTGAATTGTCCCAAGTGATGGCAAAAGCCTGAACCACTGACTCCAAAGCAATATTATCTTAGGTGTGATTTTCAATGGAACATCTCCCAGATCCTGCCTTTGTGGCCTGCTAAACTTACTTTCCTCACCTTCCATCTATAAGAAAAGCCTATCAGCCTCACCCAGTGCAGACACTGTATACTGTCTAAAAGTGGTTTCCCTCACCTACCAAGGAGCCCCCATGCCAGTTCAGGTAGCACACCCAGGGCAGCAATCCAAACCCTTCCTGCAGAGTGAGATGCCAGCCCATTCCCCCCCGCCCCCAACACACACACACATAGTCACAGTCAAGGTAGGACTGGGCCTCCTACCAGAAGTGGGCCATGCTTCTAGAGAAATGTAGCACACCGTGTATCCTAGCACACATACTCTATCTGTGCCTAAAAAGGGCAGCAGACTTGGGAAAACCAAAGTCAAAGTGGAGAAGTGGCCATCAGCATGTGTGGTTCTTCTCCAGGGAGGCAGTTCTTCTTAAACGGATACCACCTCCAGTCAGAGATCCAGGGCCCATTATAGTAAGAATCCCAAGGTATACCTAGTCTTTCCTCTTGTCTCCATATCCTAGAAGCTAGGCCAGCCTCTGAACAAGTCACCTTACTCAGGCACTGACCGGCCTCCAAATGCACCTGCCCAAACCCACACCATAGCCTGAAAGCATGGACCTTCAATGGGAAGACACTGCTTTGGTGCTCTAAGTATGAGGCTTTAATTTAAAGCTTTACTTAGCATAGCCAAGGGCAAACTGCATCACCAGCCCAGAGTAGGGACAGCAAGAGAAGAAAATGAAAGGCAGTCTCTGGAGAGAACTCTAGCTCTGCAGCCCCTGCTAGGGTACAATTCCTGCACTGGAGCTGCCAGAGCAGGCTCTTGTACCAACCTAGCATCCCGGGGAGGAGGAGTGTGAGCAAGGATGGAGGGATAGATAGCATGGGACACACAGCCTTACCGTGTGACTTAGTCGCATTGATGTAAGGCTGTAAGGTCTGCTGGGCAGGGTGTGGCTCCTGTCCTCATGCTAGGATTGATTCAACAACCCAGCCAGCATGGTTGGAGGATGAAGTCTCCCTGGTTCACACACAGCCCCTTCCCTTGTCTCCCACCCCTACACACATAGACATGCTCCAGAGAGACAATGAACTATGCTCAGGTCTCATGAATAGGCCTCTTGTTATAGAGAATCAGGCAAGGGCTGGGCTGGGCCTGGCAGCCCCAGCCCCTCCTCTCTGTTAACTGGAAGCTTGGAAACAGAAAAATGGGTTGAGGGGGGATGAGCAGGACTATGGTTGCTTAGCAATCAGCTCCCTTGTGCCAAAAAATGTACCTCCTATATGCTAGCACAATTCCCCCTTCTTGCTGACAGGGCTGCACTAGAGAGAGGGATATTAGCATTTGTGGAAATCTTTCTGAGCTCTGGTAGGAGCTGCCCTTCCCAGCAGTCTTGGGCTGTCACCATGTTGGGGCTGATAGATAATGATAAAGAATCTTTGTCACCCCTCTCAGTCATGGCTACACCTCTCACCTGAATGTTAAGAAGTGAGGCCTCCACACCCTGTTCACCGCTGGGATCCAGGAGTGGTCTCTTGGTGATATCTTGTTTCAAAGTTCAAAGTAGCATAGCTGATCCCAGGCTGTGGCAATGGCTCTCTAAAGAATCAGAAGGGTGGCAGTGAAGGAAGGAGTGGAGTGGTTTCCTCTCTTGCCGTCTGCCTCTCAAGGATCCCTCAGATGCACCAGTTCAGTAATTCAGGCTTTAAGAGTCAAGCTTTTCCTGAATACAGTTTTGCCACTTGCCCCAGGCAGCCTCCCTGTGAAAGGAGAGGTCATACTACTCACCTTGCAGAATTGAGGTCCAAACCAAATAAGATATTGGCTGTAAAACTCTCTTTTGTTTTGTTTTGTTTTGTTTTGTTTTGTTTTGTTATGCTTTTTGGAGCCTATCCTGGCACTTGCTCTGTAGACCAGGCTGGCCTCAAACTCATAAAGATCTGCCTGCCTCTGCCTCCCGAGAGCTGGGATTAAAGGCATGCGCCACCAACGCCCAGCAAATGATAGACTAGTGACATTATAGTTGCTAGAAAACTGTAAGGAAGAGTTTTTGTGGGAAGGTGATCTAAGGTTAAGGACACCTACCCTAGAGCACCTTCCCTGACCAAACAACCAAGATGAGAAGGAAAGCTCAGGGACTTAAAGAAGTCAATGTTCAGGGGAAAGACAGTACACCTTACAACAAAGGCTGATGCTGGCAGACTGGAAAAAGAATAGAACACTGATATCCCTGAACTTTCGCTGGTTGGGGCTTTTGTTGAAATAGACATGAAGACTTCGTTCTGCCCAGGGTGATGTAGACCTGTGTTTCATTCCCACAGGCCAGTCAAGGAAGTAAATTAGCTGTGTTTTATTACTCTTGCTTCATACTTTACAGCAAGTCAAAGGCTGTTTCCTGTGGCTCAAAGCTTGGGATGGATATCTGAGATAGGAGATAGCTAACTGTGTATCTTTCTTTTTAAGATTTACGCACACAT